CAATGCAATATATTTTCGCTTTGGCATTTGTTGCGTTTTGGCAGCATTTTTTGTTGTTGACTCTTACTTTTTTTTTGCTTGATTTTTTGTTTATTTGTTTGGATTTCCGCTGCCTCACAAAAATCTTTTTTTTTTGTTTTTTTCGTTTGTGCGGTTTTTTTTTGTGCATTGCATGATTGACAGTTGCCAGGCATTGATGGAGGCTTAGAGTGGCGGTGATGGAGACGAGGTGACCCGCCCTCCAACTGCAATACCTAAATGCATTCAGTCAAAAGTTGTGCGAAAGCCTCCGAATAAAAATATTAAAAAATATACATATATATGTATGTCTGTGAGTGTATATCCCCGTATATCCCCGGCATTTATATACAAACATAAACAAATCCATGTGCATACGAACACAGTGGCGGTAAAAATAACATAGCAACGAATTTTAAATGGAAATATTAATGTATTCCTAATGTTTATATTTGTTTTTATCAAATTTTTCAGTCTGCTATTTTCTTGTTGTGAAAAAGTTTTTTAACGATTTTTTTTTTTATGAATTTTAAATAATCAATCTAGAGTTTTCAAAATTTATACATTATGTTGGAAATTAGTATTTAGTAATATTTTTTAATAAAAATTTAAGGTTTTAAATCAAAACAAACCACAATTTACCTCATATTTAAGCTTGAATATAAATGCGAATTTGATAAGTTTAGGGACAACATGTTTTTGGAAAGAAAAACTTCAAATATATTTTTAATAATGCCCCTGAAAGCCAGCCAGCCCCCCAAGTCCTTAATGTTTGAAAATTTAGGAAACTTTCCTCTCTGAATTCCTAATATTTTTGCCTTGTTTGTCCGAGCGTTCATATTACGCATACGCAATGTAGACGGCAAACAAACAACGCAAATGCTGACAAGGGCAGGTGGTGGTACTTCCCGGGAGGGAGGGGTGTTGCTGCCAGGGGGTTAAGGGGCTCGAAAAGGGGAACAGTGAAGGGGACACGACTCATAAAATGCAAGCACAGCAGCGGTGGCGCGGCGACAGTTGAGAGGGCCAGCCTAAAGGTATGCTATGAAAAAATTGCATAAGAGCAGCAGCTCGAAAAACAAGAGGTAACAGGAAAAAAAAAATAAAAAAGAGGAACGCATTTGTTTCAAAATTAAATACTCATAGGCATGTGTGTGTGTGTGTGTGTTTTGGTGTACCTGTATGTGTAGAAAAGAAAGCAAAAAGAAAAAGAAAGCAAAAGTTGTTGGTTTTGTGCGTTGATTTTTGTTTTGGTTTTGTTTTCACTGCAACTCCCCTCGTTATAATCATTTCTCCACTTCTCCCTCTGGTTTTCCGTCACTAAAGTCGAAAAGAGCGAAGAAGAAGAAGACGAAGGGTGGATGGGGAAAGGAAAGAACGGAGAACGGAGAAAGGAGTGCAAGGCAGTAAGGTAAAAAAAAAAGAAAGTGTAAAAGCAAAAGTATTTATTATGCGGCAATGGCTTGGAGAGGCCTACAAGAGGCCTGAAAAACATCAGAGTCAACGAATTGCAGCGCACAAACACACACAAAGTCGCATATCTGCTATACACTGAAAAAATAAACTTATTTTTCATATTAAAAAAATAATATGACCGTTAGGTTAAACTAAAAGTTCCTAAGACAAATTTAGAATATTTTAAAGTTACAATACTGAATTTAAAATTTTGTTTAATTTTCAAGAGTTTATATTTAAATATTTTTCGTCCCTCACACTGATACTTCCATACACACATACTGGCGCATTCGGCGTCAACGTCCGCAACTCGAGGCGACTGCCACTTTTTTGTTGCCTCCTTTTGGGCTTTCTTTTTCCCAAGCTTTCTTTTTTAGATAAATTTTTATTTGAATTTATGCATGTGCGTCTCCCAGCGAGAAAGGGACCGATAGAAAGAGTGAGTGAAATGGAAAGATATAGGGGGAATGGGATATGGCAGAGTAAAATCGTTGGAGATGCATATACACATATAATGAACACCATGTAATGTTCCAGCAGACTTCCTAAAAAGTTTTTTGCGAAAGTTATCGAAAAAAGGGGATTGCTAACATTTTTTTTTGGTTGCCCACAGAAAAAACTATTTACAAATTTTTAAGTCTGGGGTTCAAATTAAATACTTTGAAGTATTATTAAAGCTAAGTTTGCTTATAGGAACTGCCTTTTAAAGGAAGTTTTTTCTGAGGATTTCATGCTTTTGATTTAAGTTAATTAAAGATCAAGATTTTATCACTATAATCCAGAAACTTCCATTCGTGCTGCACCGCACAAGACCATAACCTTTATGACAAGTCAACACTGTGTGGGAGACTTGAATTTTAATTTTCCAGATTATTTTTTTAGGCTCTTTTGGATTTTTTGACAACATTTCCGCTGGCTTGGCCCATCTGGGGCCTGTCATCCAGCTTTTGCCACCCCGAATTGTCCCCTCCTTCCCACCCTCTTAGACTTGTCAAGCGTTGCAACAAAGTGCGTTATGCATATATAACAATTTTACTTTTTTTTCTTCTTTGCTGACTTTTTGCACTGCTCTGAAGTAGGAAAAGCGGGCAGAAGAGCCTGTGGAAAACATAAGAAAAACGACAGTGGCTACTCGTGTTCCTTTTGCTTTCATTCTCCTACACTTTTTTTTTTTTTTCTTATTTTGCCCACATTTTTCGCGTTTATCCCTGTTGACGAAAATTTTTCGCTTAAAAAGAATGAGTAGAAGATGTAGGACGGGGGCGGGAGAAGAAGGCCTTGGGGTTGGAGGGAAATGTAATGTGAAAATATATTTTGCCGGAAGCTAAATGTTTTGCCAGGGCGAGTACAGTTGTGCTTGCCGTGCACCCAAAAGTATGCATTACATTCACATTTTGAATGCAAGCAAAAAATTAGTGGAGACAACCGTCACCCAAAAAGAAGCGACGCGGAATGCCTTGCTCGCACTGAAAGGAAAAAATCCAAACAAAATATATTCAATATCGAGGTACCCACACACAGTCCAGTAGAGTATTTCTTAGTTGCTTTTTTCATCCTTTCTTTATGTTATTTTATTCACTTCCCTTTGTTTGTCCTATTGCAACATGCGACAATTTTTCTTATTGTTTGATTTGAATATTTGATTTGGTTTTTATTTTATTTATATATGTATATATATATATATATATACAGCGGTCTCAAATAGTAAATGCACGGATATGGGAAAGGCTGGCGGACTAGATGGGAAGCGGCCAGTGTACACACTGCGTATACTCTATTTGCTTAATAATTTGCCAGAAATTTCCATTATTTACTTAAGTCTCAGCGGTATTTTCTGACAGTCTTTGTCAAGCGATTAGGGTTTAGTATTTGGTAAAAAATTTACCAAAAATTTATGAAATTTGTTGCGTTTTTTCCAAAAATGAAGTTTGTTTTAAAGATTTGATTTTTCATATCTTTAAAATATAATCAAACCTTCGTAGGCTTTTAAATGCTAATTTTCCAAATTTTCAACTTCAAAACTAGCTCTATTTTCCCCTTGTCTAAATCACCTTTTCCCCAAACTCTATCATAGGGAATCCCCTTGTCGAAAGCATTTTTTGATCATTTTGTCGAGAAGGCCTGGACAATGCCGCCTCTTCTGACAGCCATATTGAAAATTATAGTGTCGTAAACATGCAACTGCAACAACAGCAACAGCATTGGTGGCAAATAAAAAATTAAATTAAAATAGAGAAGAGAAGAGAACAAAGGGGAAGAGGAAGGGGCGGGCGGAGGACGGAAGAAGGACCTCGAACAGAACATGGCCAGTAAATAAATAATACAAACAAAAAATTCCAGGGGTATGGAAGTTAAAAAGTGGAATGGGGAATAGGAGAGGAGGACACAAAATTGCAAACGGAAATTGCCAACAATGTGTGGCAAGTGAAAAGTGGAAGTGGCCCACAAAACGAAGCGATAAAAAGTCAACTACCAACGAAATAAAACCAAAACACAAAATTCTATCAACTGTGCGAAAACTTATGGCATTGGGTGTGTGTGTTTTAAGGTGTGTGTAAGTGTATGTGAGTGTGTGGGAAATTTACAGAGATAGATATATATATATTTACATATATAGAAAGATATATACGACAACAACAACATTGATTACAACATACACATAGATTGGATTAACTAACAAAATTACACAGACACTTATCGATATAGACATTGAGATAGAGAGATAGACAGAGTGTGAAAGAGTTAGCTATCTAAATGTAGAGAGAGATAGATACAGAGCGCTACACATTAAACAAAAGTAAGTTAACTATATAGAGCTAGGAAACTGAACAACTAACATTTGATATTTGTTTTTTTTTTTTGTTTTCGGTTCTCAAATTACTTTAAAGGAGTTTTTTTCCAAACTGAATAGAAAAAAGAAAAACTTTACTTTCTTAGATTGGGAAAAACTTGATATTTATATATATATATAAGGGCATAGATATAGATGGATAAGATATATATATATATATTTATATAGATATATATGTATGGGTATTATATATATTATATGATGTATATAAAAAATTCATAGACAAAGAACACGACGAAGAGCAAAAATATATGTTGAGTTTTGATTTTGTTTTCATTTTGCATTTGTTTTTGGATTTTGTATTTTGTTTTTGGTAATTAAATATATAAATATGGTATATATAGAATGTATATATATATATATAAGAACAGACAGAGAGAGAGAGATAGAGAGAGAGAGCAATACTTAAGATAGAGCTTATACATATAGAAATGGAGTCGGATCGAGCCAGATTGGGATCAAAATAGATCTTATATGCGAGACGTATCTCGGAATTCGTTATATATTATTTTTTTTTTTTAGTTTTTAGTTTTTAACCTATCGAAGCAGCAAAAGCATTCACTGAAAGGGATCTCCTGGGACTGGAGTTTCTTTTTGAATTTTGGCAAGGGAATTTGTATCGAATTTGGGGGCGGGGGTGGTCAGGGTCGAGAGTATATAGAAATCGCTGACTTACCGACTCGTGGGAGGCGCGGTAGTCAAGGTCGCCGCCCAGGCCGCCGCCAGCTGATGCCGAACGCTGTTGCATGTGTCTGCTGTGACTGCTGTTGTCATCCTCACTGCAATCGATCTCCTTTTTGAGGCTCTGTGGATTATAAACATAGTATTTATTGGTAATGGAAAAGCTAATACAGTTTCCTCTGTGACAAGTCAATGAATGAGTTGAGCTGAAAAACCAATGACTTACCAATGGCACCGATTGCACGGGCAGAAGATTGGCCACGGTTCCGGGACTTAACAGGCTGGACGAAGATGCTCCACCTCTGCCATCATTACCGCCACCGTCGCGAGAACTTCTTGACGCCGGCCGGCCGCCAGAGCCGCCAATACTGAGGTCAGAGGCGCCCGCTCCAGCTCCCTGTACCGACGACATGGCCGGTGTGGAGCGTTGCGATTCCATGGCTGCCGCTGCCGCCGATGAAGATGGCATGGTTATCAGGGGGGAAGGTATCTGGGTGGAACCAGTGGACAAATCAACGCCACCGCCGCCCGTACCGCCACTCATTTTCATATTGAGACCAAGATCATTGCTGCTGTTGTCCGCCTCATCATCATCGTCCAGATCCATTTCATCGTCGTAGTCATCGTCGAGAATTTCGCTCTTGGCAATCACGGGCATAGCTTCCTCGTCATCCGAATGCTGTTGGTGGTGCGTCGGATGATGATGGTGCTGTGGGTGTTGATGGTGCTGCGGATGTTGATGGTGCTGCGAATGGTGGTGCGTTGTATGGTGGAGCCTCTGCAAGTTTTGGTGTGCCAACTGGGCAAAGCCCCTGACCATCGCGGTGGTGGCAGTGCCCACGACAACCACATCATCATCCATATCTTCCTCATCGACATCCTGCTCCAAACGATCGTCCGCTTGTCGCTGGTGATGATGGTGATGATCTCCATCATCGTCGTCATCGTCATCTACAGCAACCACCGAATCCGCTGTACCGCCGGATGTTGCAGTACCGCCATTGCTAGCCGCTGAGGTTTTCCCACTATTAGTGTTGTTGTTGTTGCTGCTGGAGTTGTTGTTGTTATTATTATTGTTGTTATTGCTGCTACTGCCGCTGCTGCTGTTATTGGTATTGCAAGTGTTCCTGCTGCCGCCGCTTAGGTTGTTGCTGCCGCCCTGCTGCGTTCCGGCTGCTGTTGCTGCTGCACTTTTTGGCTCGACATTAGGTCTTTGAAGATCCAGTGGCGTATCCTCTTCATCTTCGTCTTCTTCCTCTTCGTCTTGACCCCTCAGCATCGTCTCCTCATTCTCGTCCAGATCATCCACCTCCTCCACATCGTCATCCTCCTCGTCTTTTAAGTTGCGACCCAACAACTCTTCGGTTAGCAGCTCATCCGCTTGATTTCTCTCTTGATCTCGGTCCTCCGTTAAATCCTCCTTGTCCGTCGGATGCATTCGGGAGGAGCGTTTAGCAGGCGTGGGACTGCAGCGATCGCTTGCCTCCCGTTTCTGTCCGCCCGATGAGGATGATGTTGCCTCCTCCGAGTGCGCAACACCGGATGTTGCTGCTGTCACCGAGGATGTTGCTGCCGTGGATGTTGCTGATGTGGCACAGGTTGCTGTTGTGGTTGCCGCCGTTGTGGTTGTACTACTACTGCCGCTGCTGCTGCTCCCCGCCGTCGCCGTTGTTGCCGCAGATGTTGCTGCTGTCGCTGCTGTAGATGCCGCCGCAGATATTGCTGAGGTTGAGGTCGATGTTGCCGCCGCCGCAGTTGCCGTTGCCGTAGCAGCCGCCGCCTGTGTTGCCGCTGTGGCATCGAGTGCTGTTGCCGGACTATCGGCCGCCTTGTGAGCGGAGCCGCCACTACCACCGCCACCCTGTGGACGCAAACGGTCCGGTTCCCGTTCGGGTTCACGCAGCGTCGTGTTCTGGTTCGTCATCTCGGCGAGGCCTTTGACCTGCAAGTTATAGGTTGATTGATTAATAAGGAAATTAGAAAGTATAGTAACTACTATGGTAGTGTGGAAATTTTCGTTAGGGAAGTGTAAATCTGTTAGTTAACCCACCTTTAGGGATTCGGCTGTCTTGAGCAGCGCGGACAACTGACAGTATTGCACGTTCACCTCGCCCTTGTACATGAATTCAACTAAGGTTTGCAGCTCGGCAAAACGGACGTCCTTCAATATCACAATTGGATGTCTTTCGGGGTGCTCCAGGAACAGGCTCTGGAAGTACGAGGAACAAGCCGAGAGGACCACCTGAAAGGATTAGAAAGAACACAGATTAGAAAAGGATTTAATGAGAAAGAAAAACAATTCTTTATATATATAAAGTAACTTTCATCCTTCTTCCTATAATCACTGATAGTTTTGCATTCTCTTTATAAAAATCTATAAGAAAAAACCGGAGCACATTTTCTCAAGTGTTAAGTATTTAGAAAAAAATGTTCTTTTTTAATTTTTCGTTTTATCAGTCCATCATCTATGCACTCCGCTCTAAGGAAAGGAGCATTTTCTACGCTTTTCCCCTTGAGCTTCGCGATGTTGCGGCAAGCATTTATTAGATTTACGATCTGGCTCTCAAATGCAGCCACAAAATGCCGCTTTTGAAGATGCCACAAACGAGCGATCCGGAAAACGTTGGACCAGCGGGGTAAATCGGGGCGGGTAAAAAAAAGGAGCGTTGCGATGGGCGATTCAGTTGGAGTTCAATTTGGAGTCCAGTTCTGTTTTTTTCTACGCTTTTTTTTTTTTGCCAGTTGGCTGCGGGCGTCAAGGCGTGAACATGCCACGAATGACAATGCCACAGCAACTGCAACAGCGGCAACACCAACAGCACCGTCAGCAGCAGCAGCAGCAATATCAGCAACTTGCAACTGGCAACCAGTTCCGATCCGTTGCAGCATTGCTGTCGATTTTTATGTGCGCATGCACGCCTTGGGGTATGCAATGAACGACCGACATATATATATCCCCCAACAGATCGGCGGTATTGCCGAGGCTTTAAAAGGGGATAGAGGGGTAGTCGAAGAGCGACCGTACAGCCATGTTGTAAATTTTCATTGCTGGCAAATTGAAAAGGCGTCGGCCTCCATTTCGCATATAGATTTCGCTATAGCCTAATGAGGTTTTGGCCTAAGACTGCAGTAACCTCAGTCCTGGTGATGTCAACGTGAGGAAAATCACGAGATAAGATGATATTTTGTAGTCCAGTTTGAAGTTTTTTACTTTTTTATAGTGTTATTATTATGGATTATACCCGAATTAATGGGAAAGTTATTGATTTTTAATATATTTTCGCTTGGTAGGTTGGTTTTAAGTCAAATGAAAATGCTAGGAAAGGAAATTACTTTACTTTCTATGAAAATCTGAAAACTGATTTTAATTTTTTCTCATTTAAAAACGTAAAATACGAAATCATAGAACGAAAAGTCGAAGATTTCCACCCAAGTTCTTAGCCAACTAATCTACAATTGTCCAGCTGCCATCTCTAGCACCTGCTCCTTTTCCTCCTGTAGCCCAAACCTTCCATCTCCTTTCCTCCTATAGCACCACCCCCTCCTGCAGAGCCTCCTGTCACGCGCCGTTTGCGCCAGAATTTATTTAAAAAAATGCAATCGGCCTGCACACGCCCCCGAATCGCAACAACAGCGTAAAATGAGCGTTAATAAATTCACGCGCATATTAGAAGTCACTGGGAGTGGGGCGAAAGAGGGCGGCAGGGGCCTATACCATTGGGGTCCAGTCCTCGCGCAGTCTCTCGAAACTCTTTCAGTGGCATTAAGAAAATCGAATTTCCTGATTACAAGAGGGGCTTGGCCAAAAACACGGGGGATGCAATGGCGGGGGGATTCTGCTGTACAAGTTGGGAGTTGGGGAAAGGCGTCGCAAATTGGCAACACTTTTAATTGAACGTCGCTGCCGGTGAGGAAAGAAGCAGCCAAAGCGGGGGGAATAACGCCCCCAAAGCTAATGAACGCCAAAGGCTTTGATTTCTAACGCCACGGCCCAGTTAGTAAACATTTTCTGCTCTCTTCCTATATTTAAAAAAAAAAATAAAGAAAGAAAGAAAAAAAACATGAAAATCCTTAAATAAAAAAAAACGTTGCATGTAATTTGCGGCAAAATAGTCAACAACATAAATTTCCAGAGAAAAAGAGAGGGGTAGCGACCACTAGAAAGAGGTGGGCGGCGGGCGGACGGAGGGGTTTACCGATCGCATGTCCCAAGTGGGCGTCCACCTATCCAACCGAAATTTAAACAGCAGCTTTAGCATAGAAAAAATTAAACTAAATGAACGGAGAAATATGTATTCTCCCCATTTTGGCCAGGTTAAAAAGGAAAAAAAAGGAAAACTATTCCTATTCCAATTACACACGCGTATAAATCAAGTGGCAAGAAAAGAAAATTCAAGTGGGCGCCAAGGAGTAAACTATCTTGACAGGGCGTTATCTTGGCATTCTTATCGCAATCGAAGATCTCTTCGTTTTTCCAGATAATCCCGTTTTCCTCAACTGATTTTGGTTAGATATAGCAGCTAGCATGCCTCCTATGTGAATTTTTGTATCTTTTTCTTAGGTTACTTCTTAGATTTTTCTTTTCAAAGATTATGTAATTTTTTATTAGCTTAACTTTTTTTTGGCATCCTTTGCAACTTTATTTAACCTTTTTTTTGTTTTATTTTGTTAAAGTTGCCTTTTGCTAGTTGCCAAACTTGGGTGTGACGGCTGATTCTGCTGGCGCGCTTTGCTGTTGCTGCGGAAAGGTTAACATTTCTATTATGGGGGGCACCACTCCCTTTTATAGATGTTTTTTTTTGTTTGTTGCTTGACCACCATCAGAGTAAAACAACAACAAAAACAACAAAAACAACTGCTGAATACTGCGGCGAAATATGCAAATTATTATGTTTGCATATCGCCGCCTTGCCGGGTTTTTTCTTTTTTTTTGCCAGCAATTTTCTGTGTGTTTGTATGGCGCTTGCGGCTCTTTTTATTGCTATTCCACCTCTTCTCGCTCTCTCTATAAATATATATATATATATATATATTTCGATTCTTCTGCAGAATCTTCCTCTTCGATTTTCACTCGCATTTATGTCTTAATACAATTTGCCAAGATTCGCTAGGAATGCATGCAGCATGGATTACCACGGCTATGACTACTACTACTACTTGATGATAGATGATGGATGATGATGATGATGATCCGTTGGGATCCAATGATCCTCGCCCCAACTTTCCAACATTGTGATTAGCTTTTTTGTCCGTCAATTTCGCATAATGTGTGCAAATTTATATAATTTACCCTGATGGATTATCGTTATCGATTGCTCTACCCTGTCGATAATTGTGTGTGTGGGCAATTTAATTTTATTGATTTTTTCGATGACAGAAGGGGAGAGACGATCGGATCGCTAAACAGTGATTATCGATTGATTATCGTTTGATTACATCTATTAAAGTACATTTAATTGATAAATAAATACAATAGATAAATCAAATCTGGCTAAGATAAAGGAGTTTTGTATTCAAATTATTTGTTATGAATAAAACAAAACTTTTTGTATAATTTCAGAGTGAGTTAGCTTTAAGTTTTCCTTTTGTATTTTTTCTCTCCGCTCGTTCTCATGTGCATTGTATATTTATCATAATATTAATAACAATTATGCCGCATCATCTGCTTGCCATTTCTGAAGCTGCTCAAAGCATTTCAGAAACTGATTAATGGCCAAGAGGTAGACCCGGTAGACAAGTAGCACTAGAAGGGGGCAAAGAATGGACAAAGAGAACAAAAAAAAAAAAACAAAAAAAACTAACATACACACAATTTTATTTCAAAATATGGCATTTCTAATTTAACAACTGCGCTTCAAAAATTGCGTTTTTTTTATACCGTCACTGCCGTTGCCGCCGCTGCTGCTGCTGTCTTTCTTTCGCATGCCTGCCATTTAATTATTTTCTTAGAGCTCATTTTACGGGGGGGTAGAGGGTTTTGTGAGGAGGGGGATCTGTGCACAGATGATGGCGGGGTGCTGGCCAAAGGGGGGCAGGGCAGCAGGGCTGTGGAGCCGAAGCGGAGCGTAGACGACGACGGCGGCAGAAACACATCACACGTTGACCTTGATATTCGCATTCGCAGCGGAACCGCACACAACTTGCACACACAACCAGCACAGCAAAGCGAACATAGATACAGCAGGGGTGGAAATTTAAAAAACAATTGAAGATTTTCGAAAAGATTATTTAAAAATTTAACGTTAAACCCTATAACATATTAAAAATTCTGTATTAGACATTAAATAGTTAAGGATTTCCATATCTACTTCGATTTTCTTTAAAAATACAACCCTGTCAATGATGCCAATGCGACCCATTTACATTATTACTTTTAATGATGCCAATTTTGTCAGATTTTAAATGTAGAAAGACAAATTGAAATCAGTTTTAAATAGATTTTAAGTTCAATTCTAGTCAAACGAAAACACGTTGATAGATATATTATTTCTTAGTTAAATTAGTTTTTTTATAAAAGTTCAGTATTTATTGGAGCTAAAATAGTCTTAAAGAATTCAATCCTATTTCAATGACCGCACTTGTGTCCACATGAACCCAGAAACCAACACACACACACACACACACATATACATATGCAAAGCATTAAGTAGAATCGTCGACCAGAAGAGGAAGCAGAGGGTGTGGGAGAGCGGGAAAGAGAGAGGCGCACGCAACGCAGCTTTCAAAGCTTCGCAATAGTTGTTGCTATTGCCATTTTCGATTGCACGAGGGAGGAGCAAAAGAGAGAGGGTAAATCAGTGATTGCTGGCGCTAGAGCGGGACAGAAATGGGCGATAAGCATTTGCGGATTGCGAACTGCAAAAACGCAAGGGAACACTCGAGTATAAATAAATAAATAATGCGAACTAGCCAGGCACCCACACACAAAGTATATATATGAAAATACAACAAGAAAAAACGCACAGAAATTTTTGAAAAATTATCTCATCAAAGTGAGCCGCTGCAGCTGTCTCTTTCTAATTGCGGCTGCAGTTGGGTGCGTTCATTTCCGGCTATGCCTATCTCATTCACACTCTCAACCATAAATCTGTCTTGATATTAAATAAATTTAATATATTGCTTCGTCTGCTTCACATTTTTTCCATCTTTATTTTTGGTTTTCTGTACGAATGAGTGATTGCATAGACGAAGATACAGAGAGGGAACGAGACGTCGCTAATGCGTTGACGTTGACCTTGGATT